AGAATATCAACAAAATTTTGCGCACATTTTTAATGGAAACACTGCAGTTGCGAAACTGTTTTTCGACATTAACAGAATATCAACAAAATTTTGCGCACATTTGCAATGGAAACACTGCTAGTGAAACTTTAGATCATGTCACGCTTCTTTCACTCTGTAAGTAAATAATATTTTTCCCTGTTTAACAAACTGTTTCGACCTGCTGTAAATGCAGCCAAATTTTATTCTGTATGATCTAAAGTGACGGGGTGTTTCTTGTGAAACCTCACAGCTCTTGCACTAATAAGACTATTTAACAGGTGATTCAACAGGCTGCCTCCCTCCTACATTTAGCTCCCTTACCCACTCCCTCAGCTCTTATCTCCTTATACCGGCTCTCAGGATGAGGCCTGACGCTGAGCTTACCATCAATCACTTCCACACATCTTAATTAGACTCGGCTCCGACCCAGCCATCTTCAGATGATCTCCATCCACTGTATGTGGCAGTAATCTAATGAGCAGCATGCTGTGTAACCCGACGCTGCATCCCTGCTCAGTATGCCTAAAACTGGCAAGGGTTTCTTTTAAAAAGGAGGAAATAAAACTCTCTTTTATGCTTTTATGAGCTCATGAAGGCCTTTTCTAGCTGAATGTTTAATTCTAAAGAAGATATGTGTGTATTCTTCTGCATGTGTGGACCAGCTTGTGCCCATTAAATCCATTAAGACCTTGAAATGCTGGGCATTGGGAGTCTTATAAGTTGCATTAGGCCTTAATGGGTTAAACTACAGTGGTAGGGTCATAGACAGGTCACCTCTAATCAACATTATTAGTCAAATAGGATCAACCTGTCTGAGGGATCCCTGGAAGCTCCTGTAAAAGAACAGCACAGTAGATCCCTGGAGCACAAACCATACCTGCTCTGGAACTTACAAACCAAAAAAATAAATAAACATATTTTAGGGTTCTTAATTGTTTTTTTCTTTATTGGCTTTTGATTTCTTTTTTAGCCTTCCAGGGTTTTTTAGGGCAATTTCAAAATGAAAGCAGTCTGATTTGGTCGTGGCTGTTCAGGACGCATTCAGTCAGGACACCCAGCCGTTAGCTCGTCAGTCCTACCCTGTCAGACCTTATCTCTTTTTTAGTTTCTGGGTTTTCCATGGACAGTTCATCAATTTCAATGTGCTTATTCTGAATTTTTTGGGGGGTTTAGATGTTCTTTTTTGTAATATTCAATGTTTTGTCTTGAATATGGTAGCAGCTAATAATATATTCCCTTTGCTATGTTTGCTACGTTTGCTTTAATGAATGCAACAATGTGGCAAGAGTTCCACTCTGCAGTAAACAAATGTCAGTCTGACTCTGTCAACTCTCCGCAGCCATCCGGTTTGGCAGGATGCCTCAGTCGGAGAAGCTCAAACTCAAGGCGGAGTTGGTGACAGGGGACAGGGAGGTGGTCAACCCCCAGCTAGCTGACCAGAAGACATTGGCCAAGCAGATACACGACGCCTACCTCAAGAACTTCAACATGAACAAGTCCAAGGCGCGAACCATTCTCACGGGCAAGACCAGTAACCCTGTATGTTGATGATAGGTGGTGGGTTGGTGACTGAAAGGCAGTACTTGTGGATTGCATGTTAATGCCTCTTCTTACCAGGGTTTCTTCACAGGCCTCATTCATGCTTTCTTGCAAGCTTTGGCTTATTTAGCCCCATTGAGAGAATTCAAAACGTGATTCATGTAATACTAGATATTTGCCAATGAACTAATGTCTCAATAGCAGTTAGCACAGCAGACATTGCATTTAAAGAGGGAAAAAAGGTTTTGCTCAATCCAAAACGTAATCCAACTCACCAGATGGATGAAATCATGTGTGTCAGTGCATCAACACAATACTACTCCATGCACTTGGATCTGTATTTAGGTTCCTCCAAAACAGCAACAACAACCAATACTCTCCCATTTCTCAGTTTCTGTTACTTTCTTATTCCTGGAGAAATAATAGAATGAGAAGGAGAGGGTCTAAGTCTGCAGTACAGAGGTGCTTTGACTAACATGAAGGTGTGGGGGTGGAGTGTGTGACAGGAGGGCCAGGGCAGACCAACTCTGTATTCACGTTCAAACACAGGGTTTTATTTGCCTCTGGGATCAAAGACATCCCAGCCCACTATGTATTTTTACCAGAATATTCATGGAATGTGAAACTGACTGCAATGTCAAGTCTGCATACACCTCTGATTTTTTTAATGAATATCACCTCTAGCTTGTCGATCCTGTCACAGTTCTCCAAATAGCCTATATGCCACGGACATCCAGCCCAGCACTTGGTGCCACTCCCAACACTTCCGGTTCACGGTCAACACAGTGTTAGCAAAAGATTTTTTCACCTGACAACGACTCTTAATGATCTCCACAGTACAGAATTATCATATTACATGTACCAACATTAACACAGGAGACGTACAGGTCCAGACAAGTGGAAAAAAATCACTCCAAAGTG